GAAGGAAAAATCAGGGTTTACTCACCACGAGGAGTCCCTGTGACACCACATTCCATTCTATAAAGGAAGTGAAAGTGCTCCTCCCTTCGGTCTGATTTACGAGAGAGAAAGAAAGAGAGAAGGTTGTAATGTTGCTACGCTACTTAGAGCGTCATGGTGAGGAAACAGCGGACAATAAAACCTGAGGTTAGGAAGACTCTCTAACAAATATATTGCTCTCTACAAATCAGCCACGTAGACCAGCCCTGGTAAGAGGAAATGACAGACGTACTTGTTTCCCCAGAGAAAGTTACCAAGAGCTCTCCCTACATGCGCGACAGGGGTGGCATGAATCACTCAGGCCAAAAATAATGCTTACATCTAAAAAAAGAAAAATCTATTATGTATATGTGTGTGTGTTCATATGTATGCAGTTAATTTTAGGTAGAACTACCTTGGAGGAGGTAAGGCATACGGAAGAAACCCAATGGGTTAAGAAACTCTCAAGCATTTGAAATTCATAATTCTTCGGGAGATGAGAGCTTTCTGTGGGGTAAATTCTCAAAAGAAAAAGACACCATTGCCTCTGAAAAACAAAAAAGTACATAAAGCCTCAAGTAGGAGTTATGCCTAAAACCGAGGTGAGAAATCAGTAAAATTTACTTGCACATATTTTATTTGCTCCAATAGTAAAAGAAAAATACTCTAGCATTTATTACTTAAACCTACTCTACACTTATTACTGTCTAAAATATTTTAGCGAAGTTTTCAAAACTATCAGTTCCTGGCACCAAATAGTATTGCTTTTCTCTACCATCTCCCTCAACTTTTAACTCAAATGTGACTGAGGCTTCTACAACACAAAATGAAGCCACAGGTTGGAGGAGGAAAGAGGATCCAGAAAAAATGCCAGGTGAATTAAAAACACACATACAACTGGTTATTATTTATTTATTCTATAAGTAAATTTGGAAAAAATAGTGTTGGATACCTCTTTAGCATAATACAGAGCAGTCTACTTTTCTAAAAAACAAAATACTTTCATTCTTCCAAGAAACAAAGATACTTCATATAATAAATCAAAACTTAATTCTGATTTTCATGTCCTCATCATTAAAAAAATTATCCTAATTCAAGAAGTTTCTCAAATGTTTTTAAAAAATTATACTATCCTGAGAAAGAGGGAAGACATACATAAATCAGTTGGCTTTTAAAGAATCTGGGTGCATTTCTTTATTTTAGTCTACAGCAAAATAGTTAAGGGCAAAGATTTTTCAAGACTGTAAATTCATGAGCAATAGTTTTCACCTAAATATTCTTGAAGTTACTAAGGACAGGTGTAAACTTTTTATGCAAGCAGTACACCCTTTGCAGATAACACACACACAACTACCAAGTCAAGAAAATTACCCTGCCAACATCTCAAAATGAAAAATATTTTAACAGGGTCAAAAGCTGGCAAAATGTTCACCAGGGGAGCAATCACGATAAAGGCTGGTTTCTTAAGGGCTGCAGATTCGCCCTGGCCCTCAGGCTTAATGAAAGGCAGAAAGTCTATTTAGTTGGTCAGTACTGACAAACACCCCCAAACCAAAACCCATGGCAAGTTTGCAGAAGATTTAGAAGTAGGTTCAAAAAATCAATTCTAAAGCAGAAAACCCGGGAGGCTGTCAGCTTTCGGAAGCCTCTCACAAATGCTGTACCAGATACAACTCTGCACGTAGAGGAGGTGAGAACACCAATCCCATTTCTGAAAAGAGGGCAATAATAGTACTCTGCTATGATGTGACACTGAAGCCACAGCACTAGAGTCTGCAAACTGTTGCTGTTTTCATGTCAGCATCTTGATTACTTTGACAAATATCCCTTCCCACCCCCCACCCAGCTTTTGGGGAATAATTTCAAACAACTAAGAGACTAGAAGATATCAATAGTAACTTTCTTTTTTTTTTAACAGAAAGAAAACTAAAACACAGGAGAGTGAGAAAAAGAAAACAGAAAAAATAATGCAATTAACCTCTTTGCTGGTCTCTTTAATTTCTTCTTACCTCTTTGAAAAAATAAAGTCAGGCTGAAGGAAAGAGCACTTTTTGTTTGCTTAAAAAGATGGGACATGATACAGCTACAGGCAAGACAAATCAAATAATCTTGAATGGAAGTAGAGAATGTTGGAAGAAAAGCTATAAGACGACAAAACTTGGCTGATTAATAATTTTGTAAAAATAAAATGTATTTTTATATTCCTAAAATATCTGAAAGGTCTTAGACTTAATATTAACAATAGTTTTGCTAATTCTGATAAAGTATACTTAAGGCACTAAGACAGGAAGGCAGTATCTTCATATTCTGTATAATCTGCCTACACTCACAGAGTATTTAAAGTGCTGAAGTTCTGTTATATAATTTTAACCGCACTTCACGTTATATATACACATATTTATTCATGATGGCATAAAATGTAATTTTTCAGTTGATCCAAACTGCAGAAATAGCAAGAACTGTTTGCTCAGGAAAACTTAGCGGAGCCTTCACTGTAGTGTGATGGGCTGCCCTCTAGTGTCAGTTTGGCCATAAAAACTTGAAAATAGAACGGACTTGAATTCTGTTTTAAAATGTTATTCAAATTAATTTAGATTGAAAAGTATTTGAAAAGTATTTGAAAAGTATTTTAAAGTAATATACGAAAGTTATCACCTTTATTTTTTATGCCAAAAAAACCCCCTTAAAATACCTAGAAAAGGTTGGCTCTAGGGACCACTGACCACTCACACTAAAGCCAACAAGGAGTAGGTGTTGGTGTAGCTCTCTGCAACACCTCTCCCAGTTTTTAGAACAAACACTGAAAGACTTCTCTAATGCTACTTTGGTGCCTTGCTCCCCAAGTGACGAGGGACACAGTTTAGATACCTGTGTAACAACAAGATGGCTCTTGTTGATTTTAGGTTACACATCCTTTTAATGCTATATCTCATAGTGCCAACAGCCATGGAGAACATGCTCTGTCTTTAAAAGCCATTCGCTTAAAGACAGCTAGAGCACGAACTTGCCTCACATTGTTGATCAAAGAATAACTAAAAAATAATCTAGCTCATAGTGTAGACATGAGCTATATTATGTCAGGTAGCCACACCTGGGCTTTATCCAACTTTCCATGCGTCTATTCTTGTTATGCAATCACACATGAAGACTTCCATTTAGTAATGTCTTAGATTTTTTTCTTGGTCTTCTGAAAAGGTAACTGAAATAACCATGATTCTATTGAGCTCCCAATAGTGATAAAGGAATAGTGATAGTATACAAGGTTAGGCTTTCTGAATATTGGAGTACCATGCTACAAATGTCTGAAAAAAAAGGTTTGCTGATACGAATAAAGTCTTCTTAAAAATTCTCCCAAAGGCATAAAGCACGTACTTGAATATCTTAAAGTTGATGGTAAATTCCTAAAAAAGATCCTCCCATTTGATTAACAAGAAATTAATAAAATATGTAACATAATTCTTTCATTCTGGAAGGAGAGGAAGATTATAGAATATGAAGTATCACATATAACAATGATGTGATCTTAATTCTTATAATCTACCCCATGCCATCTTGCAAAGAAGAGCTTTTACTCTTATCACAATATGATCATCATGACTGATAAATTCTTCCAGTTTACACTGGAGGGATTTCTTCCTTATTAAGACTGATTAAGGCCATTTTTAAAAGGCCTGTTATGTGTTATTCAGTACATACTAAATATCAAGTATATGCTTGTTTATTACTTTAAAAGAGACTCTTCCATGACTTTAGTCTAAAAAAAAATCAACATGTTATTCTGTATGTTGATCAATAACTTTATAACTCAGTTTCCATGGCTACTGATGATAATGTTATTATTCATATATTTAATATACCATGGAAGAGTCACCTACTTTATAGTTAAATAAAGTTTCACATATTGTCCATTTCAGTATTCTGTAACTTTTTCGGAATGAAACGTATTTAGAAAAATGACGCATGTGAGAAACGTAAATTGGGCTAAACGTAACTATGCTAAGAACACTGTAATGTTACAGAGAGTGACACACAGAGCAGAGGCATGCTGATGTAACCACAGAGAAAAAACCTGTAAAATCCAAATTTCTAACCTCAACACCAAAAAAGCAGTAAGATTCACATAAGCTTTACATTTTCATCTTCCTGTTCCCAGTTTTGGAAGAGAAGGAAGGAAGGAAACTAGTATTTATTCCTGTCTACTACGAACCAGGCACTACACTAGGTATTCTATGTACATCCCTCAGTCTTTGTGGTCAAAGATGCTGGCTCTAAACATCCCCTTTTTACTGATGGGGACACAAGCTTAGAGAAGTTAGTAGTTGCTCATGACTCATCAGTTAATCAATGCTGGGCCAGACTGTCTGATCCTTCCCACCAGGACAATGGTCTTCAAGAGCTTTCCCCTCTCACAAATCAGTGGTGGGGTCTCACCCGTAAGCAGTAACTAAGGCTAGCTAGGCCATGAAGACAGAGACTCTCAAATGAGACGGAGGAGGAACCCTGTACTAAGAGGTCCCTAGGAGATTCTGATGCCAGCCTCCGCCCACCTCCCAGCCAAGCACCTGGTCCTCACTTTACAGATGATGCCCAGGAGGCCAAGGGACTTGAAGAAAATAAAAGTACAGGCTGAGCTAGCACAGTGGCAATGTGGTTGGTCCTTGACTCTCAGTGCTAGGCCTTTTCTGTTCTTCTACACAGCCTCCTGCATTATTAACATTTGTTTACTGGCCAAAGCAAAGTTCTGGTCCAAAACCATTTGGAAAAAAAAATGTACATATAAAAAGTACAAATATTATATAAGCATATTATATACTATTCATTAAAAAGATAAACAGTATTCATTTATGCATTAAGGGCCAAAGTGTGAAAGAAACTTAATGATTATCCCTATTCTAAAAAATCTATGCAAGTGGTTATTTAGCTCAACTACAAGTAGTAAGAATAACTTAAATGTTTAAAATAGTTCATAATCTTAAACTTACCTTAAGCCATAGCAAGGCAGTGTGAAGAGCCTGAACAGCGCCAGGAAAACTCTTAAAGGAAGCAGGGTGAACACATACAGAAATGCATCCAGGCACAGAAAGATTCCAAAAACCATGAGCTGGATTTTAAAAGCAGAGAAGAACATAAAAAACAAAATGTAAAATAAATATTATTTAAAATATTACAGATAAAAACTTCAAACAATCAAGGAATTTCTAAACTTTGTAGGAAATTCATTTCTTATGACTTATCTATGGGAATAACAAGTTAGTACTTCTCCTTGTGTATACAAGCCATCTTCTAATGAAAAATCCCTTTTCAAAATGCAAGTTGTTTGTAGTTCTTCTTCCAGAGCCTTTGGTTCACCACCTACACAAGTCAATTACTCAAAACACAAGTTGCCCTTGACCACAGCATCTGATGTAGCTTTCTGGGTACTTCCTCAAACTTTAGAGATGTTATAGAAAACCTTTCAGATAAAACTTGTAAAGTCTAACCTTACTCTTGTGTAAAGAGATTACTAATTTTAACAAAATTTCATGTATACTTTAACTTGCTGTACAGAGAAGGCATTATTCTTAATTGGAGGAATAGCTGCTAATATCTGTAATGTTTCCCCCTTTCTTGTATACTTGCCACATAAGGAGGACAGAATCTTTAGATGGCTTAGAGAAGCAGCCATACCCAGGCTACTAAACTCCCCAACTTTAAGAGTGGTGACTTTCCATATGTCTGACACACAAACATGGTACGATATATACACCCTCACACACAGCACTTGATGTATTCTTAGTCAATAAACTGTCCTACATATATATATTAAGCAGTTAAAATCCACACTGTTACTGGTAGAATTGCATCCCTCCCCACCAAATTCAGATGTTGAAGGCCTAACCCCTGGTACCTCAGAATGTGACTGTATTTGGAGATGAGAGTTAATTAAGTTAAAATGAGGTCATTAGGGTGGGCCCTAGTTCAATATGACTGGTATGCTTATAAGAAGAGGAAATTTGGACACAGACAAGACACCAAGGGAAGACAACACAAAGACACAGGGAGAAGACAGCCACCTACAAGCCAAGGAGAGAGGCCTCAGAAGAAACCAACTCTGCTGACACTTTGATCTTGGACTTTTGGCATCCAGAACTCTGAGAAAACAAATTTCTGTTGTGTTTAAGATACCCAGTTTATGGTACTTTGTTACTGCAACCCTAGCAAACTAACACACCTTTATAAGAAAGAACACACTTTATTAATTTTTTGCAAGAATGTCTCAAAGAAAAAAATATATATACACACACACGTATGTGTATGTATACATATATGTGCCAGGTTTCTTAGTAGTTGGTCTGAGTCAGTCACCCTGTCGTCAGCACAGTCACAGCTCTGTCTGTCCCCTTGTTTTACACACAAAGGAGTGGTATAAAAGACTGAGCAAGGTCCACCTAAAGCTAGTGGTCCTTACTCTCCTGTCACCAAGAATCCTTTCCTTGTTTGCTGGCGATCTGTTGTTTACACTCCAAAGGCAGAAAATGACAGAAACCTGACATTCCCAGAAGGTATTTTGTTGTGTCCGCGTAAGTGGCTGTCTTTCTCATGACCTTACACTGGGGATTAACACATCACTCATTCATCAGCATCTACTAAGCCGTTAATACGGGCCAAGTAAGACGCTCAGCCTGGCGGGCACAGAGCCTGGCAGGACCTCTTGATGGGGTTCCTGCCCTCAGCAAGCTTATTCGCATTTTCACAGATAGAGACACCAGCATGTAGATAAAGGAGGTCAATGCAGAGGTAACGGCTGCTATGATAGAACTAAGTATACAAGGAACAGGGGAGCCCTGAGAAAGAATGGCCAACCCGACTTTGGGAGATTTAGAAAAAGCTCCATAGAAGAGGAGACTCTTAATGACATCTGAGATGAGGGCTACTGACACCTGGAGAGGGTGGACTGGGCGGGGGTGGAGGGGTGGGAACAGGGGAAGGAAGCTTTCCAGGGGAGGAAGAAGCATGAGAAAGAACACTGATGAGAAAAGTAATCACGACGAAAACTGTCTCTTAAAGAATCAAACTTTCTTTTAAAGAACAGTCACCTTTCTTAGGCTTAGAGGAACGTGTATTAGTATCATGGTAAACAACAGTAACAAAAGCCTAATGGGCCTTCCCCTTCACTTTTTTTTTCAATTTTTCTTTTTATTGAAGTAGAGTTGATGTACAATGTTGTGTCAATCTCTGCTGTGCAGCAAAGTGACTCAGTTATACACATAGACATTCTTTTTTCATATTCTTTTTTTTGGGTTAATTAATTTATTTTTGGCTGCTTTTGGTTCTTCGTTGCTGTGTGCAGCTTTCTCTAGCTGCAGCGAGTGGGGACTACTCTTCGTTGTGGCACATGGGCTTCTCATTGCAGTGGCTTCTCTTGTTGCAGAGCACGGGCTCTAGGCGCATTGGCTTCAGTAGTTGTGTAATGCGGGCTCAGTAGTTGTGGCTCGCGGGCTCTAGAGCGCAGGCTCAGTAGTTGTGGCGCACAGGTTTAGCTGCTCCATGGCATGTGGGATCTTCCCAGACCAGGGCTCAAACCCGTGTCCCCTGCATTGGCAGGCAGATTCTTAACCACTGCACCACCAGGGAAGCCCTCTTTTTTCATATTCTTTTCCATTATGGTTTATCACAGTATACTGAGTATAGTTCCCTGTGCTATACAGTAGGACCTTGTTGTTTATCCTCCCCTTCACATTTTAAACCAGACCAGTAAACTCAGTGGGCAAGAAAAAATCTTCCCCCCACTGTATGCTGACCACATAAAGACCACCTGGAGCTGTCGATATGACAGATCTCACTATTAAAATGGAAAGAGGGACTTCCCTGGCGGCGCAGTTGTTTAAGAATCCGCCTGCCAATGCAGGGGACACGAGTTCGAGCCCTGGTCTGAGAAGATCCCACATGCCGCAGAGCAACTAAGCCCGTGCGCCACAACTACTGAGCCTGCGTTCTAGGGCCCGCATGCCACAACTACTGAGCCCGCATTACGCAACTACTGAAGCCCGCGCGCCTAGCGCCCATGCTCTGCAACAAGAGAAGCCACCACAATGAGAAGCCTGCGCACCGCAACAAAGAGTAGCCCCCGCTCGCTGCAACTAGAGGAAGCCCGCATGCAGCAACGAAGACCCAACGCAGCCAAAAATAAATAAATAAATAAAATTTAAAAAATAAAAAATAAAATGGAAGGAAAGCAAGTGGCTGTGATCTAAAGAAACTTCAACTGGGCGGAAAGAAGGCATCCATCTATGTGAGAACATGCAATATACAAGTAAAGCAATAGAGATGCCTTTCAGGGTTTAGAAACATGGAAAAGTGACCCAACTCCTCTATCTACTGTTCAGGTGTTAACTTTTTTCACAAAGCACAGCATTCTCTTAAATTTTTTACAAATGAAAATGAGAAACCTTCCTAAAAAAGTAAACAAGATGTAATCCTGAAAACATTCATCCTTGAGGGAGGTAAAGAAACCCCTGCTGGGCTGAGTGTGAGCCTGGCGCCCTACTGGGCACTGAAGGGCTTCTCATTTAATTTACCTGGTAATCCAGGAGTCTGAAGGAGATGTGCCAAGAGGGACTCCTGTGTTTTCCATCCTCCAGGTGAGTGGTGAGTGCTGACTACTTAATCCCCCATCAGCTCTTGAGCTAGTGATTTTCATCCCTGCTCAGCACACAAGGGAACCACAGCTCTGGTGGCTGAACACCTGCCCAAGGCTGTGGGTCAGAGTGAAGGAACTGGCCTTCACGCCTGGGTCTGTCTGCCTCAAGGCCCTACATGTTCTCTTTGAAGCAGTTTAAGCACAGCAAAAAGATCTTACTCCCTATTTTTGCTAGGCATAGGAGTTAACGTAATTTTCTTTGTGCTAACTTGTCTTTTGCCAATTTGCCTAGTGTCATAAAAAATGTAGAAATAAAGGCATTTAATGAATCAAATTTACAAAAGGCATAAACATTTCACATATATAGATTTACTGCTAGCTTTGAAAATGTTATCTTAATAAAATTAAAAGGTCTGAGTATATATTATTAACAAGAATAATGTGTACTTTCACACCTTCAGTTAATTTGTATGGCATCTTGATAAAATAGGCAAGTACTATTTCCTCTTCATTTGGACCAAATAACCATAAAGCATTCAAGCAGTCTTAAGTAACAGCTAATGAAATCTGCCCTGAAATATACAAGGTGTGACTATAAAGCAATGAAATTGGTGTCATATGCCACCCTGTTTCCCTTTCGAGAAACACAAAAATCTCCTTTAAATGCCGCCTGAAATTTCAAAATAAATACAATGTTGTGGCTAAATCAAAGAAGCACCATGCTTCTGGAACATGCCTCTTTAAACCATGGGTGAACATCCGCCCTATCAGCTGACAGTCATGCCTTGTGCACTGGACCCTTGTTGCTCTCTCACCCCATTTCCCCATTTCTCTCCTCCTCTGGTACTGCTGCTCCAGCCCCACCTCACTTTATCCATCTTGAAGAAGGTGGTATCTTACTTTAGCTTCATCTCACCTTTACGGGGGGCGGGGTGGGGGAGGCCTTATAAATATGTCATCTCTTTGAACTGGCCACTACATGAATAACAGAATGCAGAAAACCAAAGCATAATGGAGAAACTTCAAGAAGAAACCCCACACTGGAGTTTCTGGCTTGTACCTCTTTTCCATTCCATGTTATTTTCCCGGGAATGGAAGACAAAATGCTACAGAAGGTTTTGTGTGAAAACTTTCCAGAGCTAGCTCAGTCTCTGATTTGTTCCTCCTTCTCTCTCTTAACGAAACATGTATTGCATGCTCTAATGTTCCCTGGTCTTTCTGTCTGGCAGGAGATCTTGTGTGCAAGGGCTTCAGAAGCCTTTTACGGGTACTGGGCAATACGGCCAGGCACTGGCCAGGTGCTGTGCACAGGGCCTGAGGGCTTCCGTCCATCCTCACCTCCAACCCGAGCACGCCGCCCCTGTCCTGACTCTGCAGTGAAACTCGGGAGCTTGCCCAGTTCCTGAGCAGTAGAGGCAAGGCCAGTAGGTCTGCAGAAGACATGGCTTTGAAACTGAAGCACCATTTCTACTGAAGACACC